GGGGGGGTAGGCTGTACAATGGGCCTTTGTGTGCAAAGATGAGTAGCGATGGCTGGTGTAAAATAGTCGCCTGTCACACGGAGTCTAGTTTCAGGAGCTCGATATTTCCTGACGTGCTTTCAATGATCCCAAATCATTTTCGATATAAAGACCCATGCATATTCATGAGTGTAATCCCAAAACGATAGAGAGGCTTTCTCCAAATAAGGGTGGTTTTATTCAATCGTCTATCCATAACATCCCAATGATATGGAGAAACGATTTAGTCTGAGAGCATTCCTGGGATAAAACACATTGGGCGATCGGCTGAGTTTGCATATTAGATTTGAAATCGATCTGGATACCTTTGAAAGTTAAAAGCAATAAATACTTTTTTAAGCTTGTCTTGTCTGAAAAATGGGGTTAAAATGTATTAGAAGGCCTTAGAGAATTAAAAGCACTGTAACCTTATGCGAGTTATTCACTCTACAGAATCAGGCGGATCAGGGAGTCAGACTGCGCAGTGCGCTCTTTATCGAATAAAATCATCAAATCATTTGCGTAGACCTTGGCCCTTAAATAATTGGCCCACAGTGGGTTGTGCTAAAGTTAATTTGTATTTGTGTGTGCACTTAATTTGTGTATATGCACGCGAGTTATGGACATTGACAGCGGCATAGTGAGAAGGATGTAGGCTGCGGTGATGAGCTATGGGAAGGGTTTTTTTGTGTAAATGTCTTGCCATCTTTTACATTTTTACAGGGATCATATCACTGACGAAAAAGTGAAAGTTAGACTATAATCATAATGTCATTGGTATGTGAACTTTAGTGACAGGAAGAAAACTGAAACGGTACGGCACGTCACACGAACACCAACATTTAAAAAAAAATGTATAAGTTATCTAAACCCAACCGTTTTAATAGCAGATTTTTTTAAAGGACGTCATCTCTTGTTGTTTCTCAATACTAGTGTAAAATAAAGTAAACTTAAACGGTTATTGTTAAATAAGAAGAAAGCATAATGCATGGTGATAACATATAAAAGCAGTAAATCCGATTTTCAGTCTCATAAACAACTCATGACCGAACAATTTGAACCGTTTAAACTTCTCAGATGAAGGATTACATATGGCACCATATGGTCCACAAAAGTGTAACGAAGATTTGCAATATCTAAAGATAGTTTCAATACAATGGGTAAAATCTTGAAAAATAGAAACATCCCAATGAGTACCAAAATGACAGTTATAAGAGGTCTTTATGAGCCACGTTTTCATGTGGCTGTTAATGCTGGAAAGTTGTCAAAGACAGTGAAAGCAAAATGGAAGAAACAGAATGTGGTTTCTTGGGGAATTACTAGGAAGGGTAAAAAATCAAATGGGCTAATACTTGCATAAGCTCTCGAGGAGCGATTACTGATAAAAACAATTAGGAAGAGACAAATGCAGTTTTTTGGGACACTTGAATAGACATACGGTTCCTGGACCTCTAGCTCTCACTTTTAAAAAAACTAAAGGCAAACGAGGCAGGAGTGGATCCAGAACATCTTACTAGGGAAGCAAAAAAAAGAGGGGTGATGAGGAAAGATCAGGATACAATAACGTTGTTGATATCATCCGAGCAAAGTAATGAATGGCAAACCACGGTCGCTGATGTCTGTCGCAGATCTGGCACTTGATGAGGAACTAAACATCAATCGACACAATTTAGACCATTTTGAAGGTGGGTTTCAGCCCTACGTGTCAGGGCCAATCCAGGCTGTGTGGAATACAACGTCCGGGCAAAAAGACTGAGATGCTCGATAAAATAAGTATCCCCACTCGGGACATCGAGCTCAGATCTTCTGCGTGTGACGGTGGATCGCCAGTCTCACCACAAGCGGTAACGACACCAGCACTGGCAAAGATGCAGTAGCAAAGCTCAATGAAAGAAGCTAGATGGACAGACAGACAGAGAAAAAGATGAGAAGGCAACATCAAAGAGTGGACTGGCTTAGATTTGATGTGTACACTGCTCAAAGCTGAAAGCCATGAGGTGTGAAAGAATTAAATGAGCTAATACTTGCATACTTCAAAGTCGTCTGTAAAATGAGGCCAAATTGCAGTATTTTAGTTTTAGTAAGATATTTACCACACAGTAAGGTCATGTATACGAAGATTAGAATAATTATAATAATAATAGCATTTGTATAGCGCATATCCCCGCTCAACAGCAGGCTCTATGCGCTTTACACTATATTATTACCCCAGCAGACCACAGAACACTCCG